GTGGAGAGTGGGAAGGATGAGTAAAGGAAACCCTGCTGGAAGAGATTCACTAGAGAAAATCTCTCAACCCAAAAGGCCCACTCAGGGTACCCTCGTGGAGAATGAGGTCCTCGGGCTGGCACGCTGCACCATGTTCTCTGCTCAGAGGGGAGAGGAATCTACATTTTTAGGCTTGTTAGTAAAGTGGGCTCAGTCCAAAACAGAGAGACAGTTCAGTAGTGAGCTGGATCTACAACTGCTTAATTTAAAATGAGGTTTGGCTCCCATTCCCCAGACTGAACTAAGGACTTTCCATCCTTTCCACTTTGACTGACCCCCTTACTACTTACCTCACCTAAAAGAGCATGACTCCCGTTTTGTGGGGGAGGATTTCATCCTCCATTTGTCAAGGGCTTCTCCAGTCTGTATTTCTGCATCTCTGCATTTAAAGGAAAGAAAGCCCTCTCCCTCTGAAACCATGTTGGACACATGATGGGAAAACCTCTAAAATGTCCTAACAAAACAAGCTAAAACAGAGCCAACAAGATTTCACTACAGGCTTCATCTGTAGGTTAATTCCATTGCATAACTTAAGTGATCAACAATCAGCTGTAGAACAAAGGATGTGTTGAACAAGAGAGGGGAACTTTTCGAGCCATATAACACAATTATCTGCTGTTTCCACTCAAAACTTTCAGTGCCACAGCACCACAGAAACGCAGGAGAAGACAGAGATGCCAGTACTGCCTCAACTGAGCAGTCTTTCTGTCCAGAGTGACTGATGCCACTGCCCCTTTTACTTTTCTGTCCATTTGCTGAGGGCCTGACATGTGTTAAAGCTCCACTAAGTACCTTTTCAAATTGCAATAGGCTGTGCTTTTATTCACTCAAATTGTCTCGATTTTCTTTTCTTTACCCTTTTTTTCCCCCCCCCCAGATGGAAACTATCTGGAAAGAAATCCTTCAGCAACAGAGAAACCAGCAATGGTGGGATGAGTTCAGGGCTGCTTGGGAAGAGCAGGCCCAGGGAACATACATTATTTATCCCTGCGTTACTCCACTTTCTTCCAAACGTGTTTTTATAAAACATGACAGGTTATCACTTCTTGCCTCTGGCTACAGATGGGTAGGACTGCAAACAATCAAATGCAAATCAGGAACAGTCTACAGCAGACACACCATTGTATTGTCATGGCATCACTCCTACTCACTCCATTAGTCAAAGTACTCCCTTTGGTTTGGTTATTTGGATGGAGGAGCTGGGTGGAGATGGAGTGTGTGGGTGGATGGCACCTTTCCAGCAGAGCAAACGCTCTCCTCGGGGACGTCCCTTACGACAAGGAATTCCTCGTGACATCATGGGCTGCCTGACGCGGGAGTGATGTGCTGGGGCTGGAACTGCTCCCGCTGCGTTTTATAACACAGCCAAAATGGGATGAGCAAATCCTACAAGGGTAATCAATTCAGGGGCGGGGCTGGACTTACACCGGCATTTTTCCTTCCCTTCTCCATAGGAAAACGCAGCTTCTAATCCCAAAAAAAGCCGGATGCACATACTGGCTGTGATTAGCAGAGCTTTGGGTTTGTTGGTTTTATGCACAAAATGCCAAGTCTAAAGTTTTCCTTTTCAAGATCAGTTAAAAGAAATCTCCTTCACACAACCTCATAAAATAACCTAATAGTCTCTAAGAAAGGATTAAGTAGTTTTAAAACTCTAAGTCAACCATGCTTGAGATTTAGATCTGTCTTCAGTATTTAGAAAAGGGTTGACATTTTCCTAGTTACTGGGAGAAAAAAAAGGAATGGCAAATTTGGGCTAGATGAATTAAGGAACTGTTTGTCCCATCTAATTCATGAAAAACCCAAGAGATGTTTACTCAAGTGTTTCACATGTGAAAAATGCTCCCACAGTGTACAGACTGGGCTGGTATGATCATGGACAGAGGATGAGGAGACTCTCATCTAAACGCGACACATTCTATAAATCACACAGTGGGTGGCATCTTTGGGATGAGAAGCATCTTTTTTGCTCACTTTTTGGCTAACAGAGCACAGCCATCCCTGGGCAGGACTACAGAACACGGCAGGACAAGGCAGACCAGGTTGTGGACATGCAATCTTCTCTAACTCCTGGGCAGAGCTGTAGGGCAGGAGCTTTCAACTCCAGTTGTCTGTGCTTAGAACAACTGACCAGGGTGATTCCTACACATTTGTGCTTTTTTCAGTTAAAACAATTGGGAAAGGACAGGTGAGTATGGCTACACACATCCTGGGCTACAAAAACCACATTCTGGCAGGGTATTACGAGAATGATGTGATCAGATCTGATGAGCTGCAGCACACAGGACCTGATATTATGAAAACAACCAGTTTGCCTCAAAAAGTTAAATTTTTGTCTTCTAGCAAGGATGCAATTAAGGAAGAGCACACAGGTTCAGTGAGATGTCATAACCTGGTATCAGCAAAATGGAATTCCCATTTAAATCTGAGCTATTATTCCAAGGGAAATATTGTATAGTAATGATAATTCAGTGAGAAGGTTTTCTGTAATTGAGAGAATTAGGGGAGCATGTTATGTGGCCACATCTCTGTCCTGGATCTGCTCACAAGGAGCTTGGTGTGATGGAAGAAGAGATTTGGCTACTGGTGAAAAGAATTCCTCCTCCTGCACTATGGAACAGCCCGTAAGCCCCAGCACAAACTCACAGTGAGACAGTTTCCAATAATAGGCAAAATTACAACACACAATTGTCTGTTACACAACAGCCCAAACCCTCATCTGTAATGAACCAACAGGTTCCCCAGAGGGTGAATCTCCGCCGTGGTCCCTGTGATAGTTCAGGATCCTTCCCTAAGGCACGAGTGGGGCAGGTCTGACCCCTGCTCTCCTCCCACATCCCGGGCTGTGTCCTACTTCTCTTTGACATCACGCTTCACAGTCACACCCTCACAGGCCCCCCCACACCTTTCCCATTACTTTAGATGTTTTTCACTGAGGAACACATGTGCATTCTTACTGACATGTGTCAGAGCTCCAGGGGCCTGGAGGAGCTGCGGCCCCCGAGGAGCGCAGCAGGAACACGGCCAGCCCGCCTGGAAAGGAACTCGCCCTGAGCAGTGCTCATCCTTACATCAGCTGCAAACTACAGGGATATCTTCCTATCTGGAAAGCACATATTTGGAGAGGTACACCTACTGCCAAGGCTTTCCCGAGCGGCTCCCAGGTGTACCAAGGTTAGCAGGGGTAGTAGAGGGAAAGTGAAAACAAACTCTGGCATGGGAGAGAGGGAACTCACAAAATTCCCCTCTTAATCTCTGATATTTAAGGGATCGCTTTAAACCCTGCAGCATGAGACTTCTGATTCATGAGAGCATATGTTCTTTATTTGGCTTATCCCTGTTATTCCTATCAGTGTGTGGTGTGGTATTTTCTCCAAGAGGAGCTGATGAAAGCGGCACAGGTGACTGGCAGTTTGGGGCGATCCTTTCTCCTTCCATCTCATTTCTCCCTGTCATTTAGTCAGCTTTTTCCAGCCTGCTGTATCATGCTCTGCTCTCCAAGGCAGGCCACAGCTCAGACTCACCTACACACTGTGTCACTGGCATCTTAACTCACCCTTCTGGCTCCAGGGGAGCTACAGGAGTATCAGCATGTACTGACTATCCCTCATTAAAATTCAGCAGCACTGGAGCGGAGGAATTGTGCAACCCCTATTGTTCCTGCTGTGTGGTTGCAGGCATTCATATAATCTTATTATGACTTTTGGGTGGTTCACATGCATATTTACACTTTAATTTTCTGTGCTGTAGGTTCAAAGAAGAGCGTGTGAAATAGTAATATATGGCTCTGGGTACTGGGAAAAGATTAGAAGTCTCCTAGAGAAAATGCAAAGAGATCTGACATCACCACGCTGCGGAATTAACACTGGAGCAAGAAAAACTCTGTAAACTGTTCCGGGAAAATCTGTATTTTTGTTTTGGAAAAAAGTGTTGCCTCCGAGAAGCTTCAGGTTCAATAAAGTTTCTAGTATTTTAAGCACAGTGTTTATCAAAGTGATGCCCTGGAGCCCTTTCCACAGAGCACATTCCCACTGTGTTTGCCACCGGACAAATCCCAAATGGAACTGCAGTGCCCTCCTCGAGGATCTTACAGTCCCATTGTTTGTCTGCTGACAGACACTGCATTTCATCAGGGACCTACACTGTCCACATCACTCCTCAAATATCAGTAACTATCAGAACTAACTAAATTCAAAGGAAATACTATTTTCCCATGAGGAATTTTGCTCTAAGGGACCCTTAGTCCCTTAGTGAAAGAGGTGAAAGGAAAACACTTCCCTGTTTGTTGTGAAATCCTTCTCCAAAAGGATTTACACTGACAACCCAGGGATACCTCAAAATATCTGAAACTTTGCATAGTGCTTACAAAATACATAATGCTTACAATACAGATGAGCAAGCACTGGGAGGTTACAAGGAAGTGTGCCTGCCAGTTATTCCCAGAAAAATGCTTTCATTGCAGGAATATAGTTGAGGGAGAGATAAAGGAAAAGGAAAGACATGAAGGAACCTTGACCTGACAGGGAAAGAGGTCCCTCCATACCAACTGTGCTGAGTTAAGACACTGGTAACATCAGCACAAGCAGCTGGCAAAGATATCAGCCACTCCAACAAAGGAGAGTGTTTGGACTGGGATCCTCAGCATCACTGGTCACCTTCCCCCTCCAGAAAGTCTGGCACCCCCAGGGTTTCATAACATGGACTGACTGACTTGTGCCTTCCTCCAGTTTTCCCTGATGAGTCCCACATGAAATGTGGATTAGCTCAGGAGGAAGATGCTCTGAGCTCTTTCCACTCCGTTCTTTATACAACACACCTACGCTATTTACATTTGCTTTTATTTACACAACTGTATTTACATTTCCATTTCATGTATATAATGCACTTGGGGATTTAATGGCAGAGACAGAACAAGAGCCCAAAAATCCCAACCTATTTCTCAACTCCAAGACTTTACTCACCCCAGCCCTTGGCTCCTCTACAAGGACCACCAACAGAGGCAACAGCTGAAGACAACTGCAGCAGTTTTCCTTGGAATACGAACACGAGGATTTCAGCCGACACCGGAGGGATTCTGGATGGTGGGTTATGCACCTGCAAGGAAGAACCAGCAGTTTAGAAGGTTTTTTCCCCTTTCATTCCCCCACCTATAGAAGAAAAGCACATCACACTGGGTGGTGCACACCCCACATGGCTTCTTTCCTCTCCCCCGCTCTGCTTCCTCCTGTTGGTGGCACGGGAGAAGCAAAGAGCAGCAGGAGCAGCCGTGGAGTTCCTCCTTTTTGTGGTTTAATGCTGGAGTGTGTCATCTCTGTTTGGTTTAGTCCCAGGCTGGCAGATACAGCCTAATGAGGCTGTTGCAGTGGAAGTTGGATAGACAGTCTGAAACAGGGGTGGCTGGCACCGATGACTTGAACAGAAAACCTTGTGTTTACTGGTCCAGGATCAAGCAAACCTTGCTGGCCTGAAGCTTTCCTCTATATATGAACATACTTCACTACAGAAAGTCCTGAACCATAGTAAGTGAAACATTACCAATGGGAAATCCACAAAAGTTGGAACCCGCAGAGCGGAATGTTTTGATTTGTTTTTGCCTCCCCTCTCCCGGGAGTCAATCGAAGAGTAAACAATATTTTACCTTTCCTCCAATTAATTATTTCTAAGCTTTTCCCCATCAGACGTCCCTCTTGGTGCAGAATAACAGACCTCCCCTCAGGAAAAAAAAAAAAAAGAATCTTTAAATTCCAGAGGAAACATCTTAGCACCCTTTGCCTGGCCCAAAATAAATAGTCCATAACCCAGTAAAATCTTTATTAAGAATAATGGCCAAGGAAATGGCTAGAAAAGTAATTTCTGAAATCCAAACAGCAGAACAACACAGGAAAATGTCTGGGTTTTGCATCTGTATTTTACCAACACCCACTTTGTAGTCCACTGTCTGCTTTCTCAACATATGAATTTTGGGATTTAGTTCATCACACTGATTAAACCTTTCAGATTTTAGTGGGTATTTTCAGGAACAAATGTCTGGAGGTTGTTTATAGACAGAGAAGTATGACAAGGATGCTCTAAGCTAAGTATAGAAACTCCAAATAAAATCACTGTTGAGGGAAATGTTCTCACCAGTTCTAGTGCCTTTAAAGTTTTTGAGACTTCTTTACGTAAGTTAAACCTGTGCAAATTACCAGTGTTCATACTGCACAAAGAAATTCTCTCCTATCTTTTTGTCTAGAGCAAATTACCCATAAAAGCATTGGCTGGATAAGGTAATCCTTTTGTACCAGGACTTGGGAATCTAAGGTTGAGACAGAGAACCAGGCAATTCCAATGTGTTTAGATCTGGAAGGATCTCAGCACAGTTAGAAGACACTGGATATATTTTGCTTCAGAATTTGTGATTTCCCAGTACAGTTTTCTCAAATAAAAACATACCTTTTATCTGATATTCCACATGGGTTTTTTATCACACAGTTAAAACCCAAGAATTCAGAAGACAATTTAAAAAAAAAAAATCCAATCTCAAAAGTGATTTTTTCTGGAATGTTTAGAGTTCATGAAGATTTGTTTTCTCTAAGACAAATGCCAAGCATTTTCTTTCCCCTTCTGTAAAATCTAGATCAGAGGAGAGAAGTGCTCCTAACGGGACGTGTACTGCAGCAGACTGGACACACAGAACTCCCCACTGGAAGCTGAAGCTCCTCTTATTCAAGCAGGAAATACTTCTTTATTTTTTTTTTAAACAACAAATGAGAGTAACTTCTCCTGGGTGTTGTAATTCTATCATCACTTGGAATCTGAAATCAAGATTGGAAGCCTTTCTGAAAGATGCACTCGTGGCTCAGCCCCAGATTAACGTCTTTGATAGTTCTCGTGCTTGGTAGGAAATAATCTAAAAATAGCAAGGCCAAATTCCTTGGCTTGTTTTACACCACGGGTCCAAGTGGACAACCACAGTGGTCCCTGGGGAATCTTGAATTCACTGCCATCATCAACAACAGTAATAATTACCGTGTGCCTGAATGCTTTGATTTAAACCCTGATGGCCAGCACTGAAGAAGAGCAGGAATTATCAACACAGCCACGAGCTGTCTGAATCCTAACTCGCTTCTCAAGCGAGATTTTAGGAATTCTGCTGGCTCTGATCCTTTTCTGTGGTGCAACAGCAATCAACTCCAGGGTCAGTACTGCAGATTTAAAGAGTTTCTCTTTAAACACATGTCAGGGATCTACCATCTCTTTTACACCCACCTTTTTTCAGCTAAATCTGGTAGGTTGGGTACAGATACTCAGAAGTCTTTGGAAGAAGGGAGGTCATCATAACAAGGTCACATGAATAGGGATACTGGAGATAAAGGTGAAGCTTCCACAGATGGACATTTCTAACAACATTCTGGCCAGTTTTCCACTGTGCACTAAAGCATAGGGCAGAGGTCTGCAATGTAAGGGGTACAAGCAGTGATCGGTTCTGAGACTTAACAATACAACAGTCCTGAAATTTGGCTTCTTAACCTCACTGGGAAACAGAGCCACAAACTCCTGCTGCACAAATCCAGCTCACAACAATTCCAGGTGGATGAATCACCTTCACTCACATTAGCCCCCGAAGGAGCTTGTCTAGTATTAGGATGAGTACTTGGCTATGATTTATTGTTATCCTTGTCTAGAGAGGATGAAGTTCTTTAAATAGTGGGTACAGCACTGGATAGGTGCTGAATCCTCCCTTTTTCATTGGATTTTGTTTTTCCCACAGTTATGTGGGCAAGGGGGGTCAGTCACAAGATGTTACAGAGCCATTGTTTTAGTCTGGCAATATGTAAGCTGGCACTGCCCACTTCTGCTGTGGAAGGCAGTCTAAATAACCAGGATCACTCTAAAACTGCACACAAAATCATGCCTATCATCCAGATTTCTTCAAAAGCTGATTGAGGAGACAGCTGAGGGCCTCGATAGCACCTTTTCTCTCATGCCAACACCTCTTGCACCAGGCAGAAGGCAAGAGTGTTCCCTGTGGATATCAAGGAAGGTGCATATGTGCATTTTGCTTTGAGTATTTCCTGCCCTGGGTTTAAACAAAGACTAAGAACCCAGCCAAGCCATTGCCCCAGAAAATTCATTGGCCACAGGAGCTGCTGTGCTTAGCAGGAGATGCTCCCAGGGAGCTGCAGGTGCAGAACAGCCTCTCTGCTTTCTGCTTCTGGCAGAAGGAGGGATGGACACATCGTGGTGACAGTTTATCCCTGCAGGATAACCCACCTCCATCCCTGGCAGTTTGCTCCAGATTTTTGGGGGAGTCCTTTAAAATTTCACTTTGGGGTTTTTTCCCCCTCCAACTAGAAGTTTTCCTTTTTCTAGTAAATGTCAGACTGGGATTGTGAAAATCATACCTGAGAGACTGAAAGTCCTTGGAGCTTGGAATTTTGGAAGTTTTGGTTCTCTTCAGAGTGTCTGTTTTTGTGAAATTGTACACAGGCCCAGAAAATAACAAATTGAGTGGCAGGGTGAAAAAAAAAGCCAATAAAGGCTTTCAAACTCCTCCAGTTCTGGTTGCTGGGATTTGTGACAGACAAGGGCTTTTCCAAGCAAGCACACGTTTCCAAGATGGATCTCACAGCTCAGTCCCACCTGTGTCCCCTCAGATCCTTGCCAGCCCTTGACTTTCCTCCCCAGCCCTGGTGGCCAGCTCTTCCCTGTCCATGTTCCTCCCTTCAGGAAAGGACTTTTATTTATTTATTAAGTGAAACTCAACCTTTAAATTATAGTTTTGTCACATTAAAAAACGTTTGCACACACACAGAGAGGGTTTCTCGCTCACATACAAGCCCTATATTCCTAATTCCTTTTCAAACCATATCAACTGAGATGTCTCTCCTATGATCACGAGAGCTTTTGAACTTCTTAATCTCAGGACTAAACTCACAAAGGGTTCCAGAAGGGTAAATCCTCTTGGCTCTGGAGAAACAACTCAGGGCTACACACATTTTTGGCAACACAGAAATCACTCTACCGGCAGCTGCAGCTCTGGATCGGCCATCTGAGGGGAGGATAAAGACCTGGGTGTTGTTTAGTCTGGAGGAGAGGAAACTGAGGAATGAATGTGACAAAGAGTCTTCCAATGCACAGGGACTTCTAAGAAGAGAGGGATGATTAATTGTTCTTCATAGTCAGTGGGAGAGGAAAGAGGAAGGATCAGCACAAGCTCCAGCAAAGACAACTTAGGTCAGATATTAGAAAAACATTTCAGCTACGGCGGTGAAATCCTGGAACAAGCAACCTGGGAGTGCGGGATCTCCTCCGCAGAAATTATGCAGACAAAATTTAGGTAAATACCACTTTACAGGCAACCCAGAAATGTGGAATTTCCTTTGCTGGAGTTTTAAAGAAAATGTTAAGACAAACGTCTGGTAGGCATGGCTTAGCTACACTTGATCCTGTTTCATCCAGCTCAACAACCTCCAAGGCTCCTTCCAGCTCCCCGTGATTTATAGGGCAGTGGTAAGTGCTCATAGGATGGGTACACCCACACCTCACTGCATGAGGCACTGAACACACACGCTGTGCAAGAGCCCCGAGGGGCTGAACACCAAAAAAGGAAATGGAAAACAAAACCCAAGACTTGCTCAAGTGCACAAAACAAATCAGAACCAGCACCATCTCCGGAATCTCAGAACTCCCAGCCCAGTCACCCAGCCATTGGGTCACTCATCAGGAAATGGGAATGACGAGGGATGGCCTTCAGTCCTCATCCAAACCTCTATCAGTGCCCTGTTATCTTCCTCCTCTCATTTTCCCTTTGCTTAATGAAAGGAAGAACAGCTACTTGATGGCCACAGTGCAATTAGTTGCATCCTGCTCAGCACGGCTGAAGTTGTATATTTGCATTTTAATATTTTTCCTATTACAGACCTCCCCGTGCTCCCATAAAAAACACAGCCTCTAATCCCCTATTAACTGTATTTAGCAAACCTCAAGTGTTTCCTCCATTTGCAATCTGGCTGGGCTTCAGCCCCCAAGCAAATTTCAGGTGGCTGTGGTCTAAACATTAACTCTGGTCTGGAGCGATTTGAATTACAAACCAAACAGACTG